CTGTGATCCTCAGATCTCAGCCTCCCAAGTAGCTAGGTTTATAGGCATGAGCCACCAGCACCCAGCTATAATTTCATTTCTTAGTGGCTATGTAATGTTCTATTGTGTATATATACCGCACTTGCTATACTTGGACACCCTCCCTGCTAGCTTTACTGGGATGGTATGTAAACAGTTGTGGGAGAGCTGTGCAGGTGCTCTGGAGAATGGTGACTCTGGCGGGGTGTGTTGTGGTTTGGGGGGGCAGCAGCCAGCATGTGGGGTGGCCTCAGTGTGTTGGTCTTCTCACATCCTGTCACACTGCGGCTCACTCCTAGAGACAGGGTCCCGGCTCCTTTAGCTGTGTGTGACCCAGAGCGAAGCCCCCTCTGCAGCTCCCCTACCTCGACTCCCCACCCCCATGCCCGGGCCGACTTCTGCCTGGGTGAGCTCCTGTGTGGGGTGGATGAGGAGCTCTGCAGGCTTGGGCCTCCAGGTGGGATGCTGCCTTCTCTCCCACCACGGCCTGTGGGGCGGGGGAGGGGTCTAGGAGCCAGATGTCCCCTGGGGTTTCTGGCTAGGCCAGCCTGTTCCCACAGCTGCCCGCTGCCCCCTCCTGGGAATTTTCCATCTTGGATTGCTCTGCTCCTGCAGGGCTGTGGAAAGCTGGTCTTAGTCAGGAGCATGATTCCTATTCAGACAGGCCTGGCCTGGGGGCCTTTCCTGCAAGCCACACAAGTGAGATTAAGCAGCAGGCCAGGCGGGCGCCAGCCTGGGTGCTGTGTAGGAAGCGTTCAGCGCATTCTGCGATCTGCTTCCTTCCCTTCTCTGCTTCTCTGCACAGGCTTCCTTCAGCCGCCAGGCCTGGCCCGGTCCCCAGGCAGGGCCCTCACACTGGCCTGGCACTGGAGGAGGGAGCCACAGCAGGCCGAAGACCACTGGTGTGAACCACAGCCGGGAGGGGGGGAGCCAGAGGGCTGCCCGCCAGGCCGCACCCCCGCCTCTCCTGCCAGCCTTGTCTGAAACGCCAAAGCCAACCCGAGCAAGCTCGAGCCTCCTCCTCCAGGGTCAGTGCAGGCCAGACTCCCAGCCCGGCCACCTGATCCGTGGCCTTGGGCGGGGAGCAGCTCTGTGGTTGCTTCAATAGTGGAGCAGGGACAGCAACAAGAAGGCTCCTCGTATGCAGGAGATTTGCTGGGTGACTTCATATATTTGGGTGGCTTCATTCTCTCACTCATTCATTTATTCATTCATTCACCTCCTCCCTGAGTGTCTGTAGGCATTTGCTGGGAGCCAGGCATGGTGCTAGGTGCTGGGGTAGAAAGCTGAATAAGACTGACTTTGCTCTTCAGGGCCTCGGGCCGCAGGGAAAGCTGAGGGGCGCTGCCCTGTGGTTTGCTCCAGGTGGGAGGGTGAGCCAAGGCTGGGCAGGTGAAGGAGGAGGGGCCCCGTCTCGCCCCATTGGTCCACCAAGAAGATGACCCTGAAGCTAAGCTTCCAAAGGTGGGCAGAAGGTTTCCTTCCAATAAAGCACAGCCAGGCATCAGAGACAGAAAGCTTTCTTTCTTGTTTTAATGATCATAATAGAAAATACAGCCATGACAGTAATAAGTCAAACAAAGGGAGATCTCACCACTACGCTTGTACAACTTGGAGAGGGACATGTCTAAGCAAAGAGCACACTGAACTCCTACAGAACGGCAGAGCCTCTTCTCAGTGACCACAGGGCTAAAACCAGACATGCTCAGGGAAGAAGGGCCTAGAGGGCTAATGAAAACTCCTTTTTGTCAAGTAAATCACGGGCATTTACAAGTCGATTAGGAAAAGGTGAGTAAGATGCTGACACAAGGTGCTCTGGCATGAAGACCAGGGCAGACAGGAGGGGTTGAAATTTGAGGAGGAGAGAGAGTATCTGGATGGGGGATAGGGCTGAGCACATGAACAAAGCCAAAAGTCAGACAAGACCCCGAGGGGCCCAGTGGCTGTGTCCCCCCAGCCTCTTGGGTACCCCATTTCCAAGCTCTCCCCCAAGGGAGCTCCTCAGAGGCCCTGGTGGAGGCTGGTCTCCGGAGTCCCAGAAACAGAGGTTGCTGATGGGACTAGCAAGTGACTTGTTCAGCCTCCACTTTCTCTTTTCTTTTTTTATTTCTGCTTCTGGGGATTGAATCCAGAACCTCACACAGGCTAAGTGTGTTCTCTACCGCGCCCCCCCCCCCCCCCCCGCCAGGGCCATGCACCCAGCTCTTGTTGTTTTCCTGTTTTGTTTTAGAAACAGTCTCTCTGCTAACTTTGCCCAGGCTGGTCTTGAACTCAGGATCCTGCCTCTGCCTCCTGAGTAAGTGGGATTAAACTGTGGATTATACACCCAGCTTTAGCCTCTGCTTTCTGGGGTTTCTCTCATCCAGGATGGGGGGGTCCCCTTAAAAGCCCCCAGAGTATGGAAATAGAGTCATGTGAATTTCTTAAGACTTATTTGACTTGCCTTCAGCTGGAATTTTCTGGAATCAACCATTGCTCAGTTGATTTCCTTCAGTGATCCACACAGGAGCAAGAGTGGGGGTTTCCACAGATCTGGACGTGGTAGTTCAGGCTCACAGAGTCCCTGGCCTGCCCTCCGCAGCGTTTGGGGGCTGGTTAATGCTCCGTCTGTGGGTCCGTCCTGCAGTGTAGGAGTTAACGGGCACCCCGGGCCTCCAGCCACTGGCTGCCTCCACCACGGTTCCCAAGCTAGCGGTGACACTGCCCGATGTCCCTGGGGGACGGGAGGGCACCGCTGTGCTACAGTGTAGAAGCAGCACCCTGGTGGGGCTGCATGCTATGGGGGGGTGCTCTCCTGGCTCCCATTCTTGTTGGAACCCCCAGAACGGCCAGTGCTATGCCGACTCACGGAGACACAGGCCTTGAGAAGCTGACACAGGGGACCCGGCCTGTCTTGCCACACAGAGGGGGTAGGCTCAGTGGACAATGAGGACTTTGGGGTACCCCAGAAGCTGAGGCACACACACACACGCACACGGTCTCAGCATAAGCTATAGGATTTGTGATTGGTTGGTGATCAGGGCAAAGGAGACAGAAGCCTTCCCCTGGGGGTGCAGAGCTGGAAAGAGAATGGGAGGCAGTGTGGGGGTTGGGCTGGAGCTGTCTGGGTGGGGCAAGGCCGTTGCCATGGTTACCAGGCAGCATCCAGCCTGGGCATGTCTTGGCCTGCACAGAGGCCGGTGTGTGGCACACTTTTAAGGTCTACAGAGACTCAGGTTCAAAAGCCAGAGTGGGTGTGGTCACCTCACATCTGGAGATTCACCTGTCTTTCAGGTGGAGACGGTTCTCACGCTGGGAAGAACTGTGTCCCCTCCCTGCTCACTGTGGCCCGTGAGGCTCCTGGGTCGCTGTCCCCTCCCTCCATGGCCAGTATTTCTCCAACACGGATCTCAGGAAGATTCCCTTCCCTGGACTCTGCCGGGGCTGCGGACTCCACACTTCTGGGGTCTCCGTACTAGATCACCCACCCCCTCCCCACCCCTCTTGCTGAGTGACCAGGGCCAGGGCGCACAGGGCAGGCTGGCCAGGTGAGTACAGACAATGTAGGCTCCAGCGGCAAGCTTGGGCCCCGGCTAAACTCCTGGCAACGCAGCTCTCCCCCACGGCAGTGGGGGCACCCCTTCGGCATCTCCAGGGTGCCAGGAGGAGCCTGGCAGCTGTGGTGGAGCACACGATCCTGGCTCCTGGTGAACACAGCGGCCAGGTGCCCGGCGATGGCTCTCTGTGGACTCTGGGGACCTCAGTGCTTCCCATGAGGATGGAAGATCCCATCAGATGCTCTCTAGAGCCCTGATGCTGCGGTTCGGAGACTCAGCAGATGTGCTACACTGCCCGTGGGTGGACGCTGGCCGCAGTGGTGTGGTGGCAGGAAGAGCAGAGGCTGTCGAGGCCTGGTAATCTTGTCCTGCAACCCCCAGAGCCCAGGGCCAGCCTCTGCCCACTGAGATGTCCTCCGCTGGACAAGGACACACACGCCTCCTCAGACCGGTGGCCGGCTCCCGGGTTTTTTTTTGTTTTTTGCAATTATCTGCTCCACCCTGGAGGGAGCTGCTGCGCCTCTCTCTTCGTTTCCTTTGTACATTGTACAAAGTCAGCTAGAAGATGCCCCAGGCCCGAGATCCTCCCATTCTGGTCTGCACAGGAGCTTCATGCAGCAGGGTGCTGGGCAGAGTTCTTCTTGAGGAAGAGCCCTGCTCCTCCCCGCTGCCCCCAACCCTTCTGGCCTTTCCTGGGGAGCTTCCCTGCCAGGACTCCAGCCACCATGTTGTAAGGAGGGGAGGAAACTGGCTGGAGGAGGACAGGATCAGAGGTGCTCATGTGATCTTAGCTGGGATGGAGAGAGCACTGAGTCGAGACCTAGGAAACACCTGGCCGTTCCAACTCCCTCCACTGGCCAGCCCTGGCACCACATGCCAATCACGCCCCCTCTGCCCCATCCATCCAATCACGAGGCAGGGGTGGGGCTTGTTCATCTCTAAAACTCCACAGGTCCTCAGAGAAGGAAAAGTCAGCAACTTCACTTGAGTATTAATGCTTTCCCCCCCCACCCTTTGGGTGGAGTAGGGTTTGAACTAGACAGGTACTCTGCCTCTTGACCTCCTACTCTCTTTGCTTTAGTTACTTTTTGAATAGGGCTTTGTGTCTATGCTTAAGCTGACCTGGACTGCAATCCACTTATTTATGCTAGGACAACATTACCTAGGATGGCAGGCAGACGCCACCGCACTTTGGATGGGCTCTTCCAAACATCATGCCAAGCCAGCCAGCAACCCTGACACTCCTAACCGCTGCCTTCCAAGTAGCTGCGATTACAGGCATGTGCCACCATGCCTGCTGGCAATTCTAATTTTTTAAAAGACATCTTCTCTTCTTCAAGGATCAGCAAGTTCATCTAGTAGATAAAACCAACCAGCAGTCTCCCAGAAACCCCACCATGGTCCCAGTAGCTCCCACCTCTAGGTTCCAGGCACTCTTGGGTCAGGTGACCAAGTGCCACTTATAAGTGAGATCAGGAGTCATCCATATGCCAAGGGACAGGCCCAAAACCAAGGCTGGGTTGGAAACTCTGAGTTCTGATGACAGCTTTGGTCCCAGAGCCACAGACCAGACCATGAACAAGTCCCACAAGTGATTACTGACTGCAACAAGCGATCACCAAGCTTTGTCTACAGCTCAACCCTAACTGGCTGCTCCAGCCGGTCTGGGGTTTGGGGGTGGTGTTTTCAGGGACTCTCTATCCTGTTCTACGTGGGCCTTGGTCCCCCATGTGGCCGGGACCCCAACTTCCATATCTTCTCAATCAGCTTGGCCAGAGCCAGGAATGCGGTCTGGGGAAAATTCCAGATCCTTGGTGGCTGCCCCAGGGGGAGGCCATTCCAGGGCTCAGCACCGCTGGTTTAGAGCCAGAGGCCAGCAGCAGGGCTGGGCCACACGGCCAGCCACGGCCCACGGCGAGCCCGGTGGAAAACACGCCGTCCTGCGATGGCCGGTGGCCGTTCCCTCAGAAGGTGAACGCGTAGACCACGCCCACCACCACGATGTTCCCCAGCGTGGCTATGATGGCAATCCACAGCAGGACGGCGTCGTTGGAGGAGCGGGGTGGCTCCTCCAGCTGGCCGTGGCCGTTGGAGGCCGCGTGGACGTTGCTGGAGGAGTTGAACAGGGAGTACTCGGTGCTGAATTCCTCGTTGGGGGAGTCCATGAACACCCCTCCCATCATGGGGAGCTGCGGGAGGGAGAGAGAATCAACCAGGGCTGTGAGGACACCCCACCCCCACCACCGAGGACTCCACCTGCCCCTCCCCCCCCCCCACCACCGAGGACTCCACATTCCCCTCATCCCCACTACCGAGGACTCCACTTGCCCACACACAGAAACGACCATGCGTTTAGCTGAGCCCATCAAAGGCGGATTCCGAAGCCTTTGGCGGCCATCTCTCCTGTGTCAGTCCGCACACACAAGCTTGGAAGAACTTCTGACAGTGCATCGGGATGGGTGAAGGCCTACAGGCCTCACCCCGCCCCCCACCCCAAGGCAGGGCCTTCTGCCACAGCTCAGACCATAAAATGCCTTTATTCTTCTCCTAATCTAAAAGACAGTGTATACTCAGCATAGGACACCAAGAAGATATGAGAGGACAGAGTGAAAAGTGAGAACCACAATCCCAACATAATCGCGGTTAGCAGTTGGGGATCTTTCCAATCTCCTTTCTGAGAGAGGGGGAGAGAGAGACAGAGACAGACAGAGACACAGAGACAAAGACACATGTTAAAATGTGATTTTTTTTTTATCCTTGCATTAAAAAGTCCATCAGAGGAAGTGGTGCTGTGGCTCAAGTGGTAGAGTGTTGGCCTTGAGCTGAAGAGCTGATGGACAGCGCCCAGGCCCAGAGTTCAAGACCCATAATGGACAAAACAAAACAAAACAAAAGAACCCATCAGAATCCCCTTTTTAATAACCATCTAGTATTCTGCTATAAATACAAACCATGATTTAATGGTTCCCCTACAGTTGGAAAATTAAGGCTGTCCACTTTAGCCTGTTATAAATAACCCCTGGGCATCTACTTGGCTGTGCATGCGTTTCTCTCGGTGTAGATAGACTCCCATGTACACACTTCTCATATAAGCATAAATATTTTGGTTCCTGGTGCATGCAAAGAGCCAACCCCCTTTCTAGGGGCACGACTGGAATTCTCACCACTCAAAAACTCTGCACACTGCCCATAAACACTCTGGCTTGCTTGTTTCCAGGGACCAGAACTTTCTGTCTCGATTTTTAAAGGCTCTGCAAGGCTCAGACTAGCGGGGGGTTGAGGCGCTGGGTGGCCCAATGGGAGAGGGTGAGCCAGACTCCACAGCGAGGCCTCTCCTGCTCAGGGGACCCTCTCTGGAGGCAGAGGGGAGGAGCACTGAGCCCTGGGAGACTCTGGGGCCTGTTTGGCCCAGGGTCGATGCTTCTCTTGAACAGGACCAGAATGAAGGGATAGGAAGCGGTTGCACAACGTCCGCTCTCACATGCCACACAGCTAACTGTGTGGGACAGGTGAGTCTGCCTGGGGTCTGGGCACTTGTAAGTAGTACCTTGCGGCCTTCTTGACCCTAGACGCATCTGTCTTTGCTGATGGAGGCATCTTTGTAAAGCATGACCATAACTGAGCCAAGTGCTCCCTGAGCACTGAAGAGTAACTTCTGATAGGCTGGGCCCCCCTCTCCCCTCCCCCCCACCAAAGTTGGACATTTTCGTTCATAAGGACACAGCTATGCCCTGAGGAGGGAAGAAGGAAGATGTAGTGACAGAGAGTGACCACTAGGGGGAGTGTAGACCAGGCTGGTTCCAGGGTGAAAATCCCCCCAGTGGTATCTTTCCCGTGTACTGTCCTATCCATGATACCATATTCTGTCGAGATAATGAAATCGTTGCTGTTTTAGCCTACTGATGAGCAGAGCAAGATTACAGAGTGTAATTCTACCTCAATTACCACAGGGTTCAACCAGAGGTTGAAAACGCTGGTGCAGAAAGTGTACTTTCTCCCTCTGCCCTGACCCTGAACACTCAGTTCAGCCCACATCATACTTAAATCTTAGGGTGCCCTGCCTGCCGTCGGGGTGGGGGGCTTAGATCGGGCTGTGACTGCTCTCCACACCAGAGGATGGTATCAGCCCAGGAAACCACTCCGATTCCAAACTGCCTGGCTTTCACACTGCTGGAAAGTTGAGAAATTGCAACCAGAACCCTTGCAAGCTGGGGACCATCTGCAAACAATCTTAAAAATATAAAAATCGAAACAGAAACACTGTGGCATCTTCAGAGAGTGAGGTGATTAGGTTCAGTCAGCAGGCAGAGCCTGGTGGCTTATAATGAAGAGAGACTGTGTTTGTCTACATACACGTACAGACAGTTACGTGTGCCTGTGCATAGAGTTCTGCAGCCCAGGCTCACACACATGTGCACTCACACACACACACCGTGCATGCATACATGCTGTGTGCTGCGAACACCTCCAGAGCACCAGCCAGAGCCACCTCATTCACTGGTGCTGCCGGGCGCTGGTGGCTCATGCCTGTAATCCTAGCTACTCAGGTGGCTGAGATCGGAGGATCACAGTTTGAAGCCAGCCCAGGCAGGAAAGCCCTCCAGACCCTTATAAACAACTCCCCCAGAAAGCAAGGCCTCACCATGCACGGGGTCCTGGCAGGGCTCCGGCAGGCAGGACGGGAGGGAGGGCTGCCCCTCCACCCGCAGGCCTGGGTCTCCAAGAGGACCCAGGGAAATAAGAGTAATTTTTAGAAAGCTGGAGCACATTGCACAATTAAGAGGGAAAAGCAGATTCGCTCCTTCTGCTCTGAAGCTGTTGCCATAGTAACTGCACAACACAGAAAGAGATGACACCAGCGCCTGGCCCAGCGCACTGCCTCTGAGCACTGACTAAGGGAGTGAGGGCGTGCCCTGGGGACAGGAATGCTCACTGTGTGGTCCAGGCCCCGAGGCCCCGGCCTCCACCGCTGACCCTTGCTGGCCCAGGCTGGCTCGGTGGCAGTTGCTTCCCTCTGCCCAGCTGGTTCAGAAGCCTGGGTGGCGCCATGGAGCCTCTGCCTGGGCAGGGGAGGGTAGCCGGAGGTTATGAATAGAGCAGGGCTCAGGACGATGGAGGAGGCTGGGGCTACAGCTTTGCCAGGCTGCCGGTGCCCGCTAGAGCCCTCACGCACCCCCCCCCCCACACACACACATGTGATAGATCACCAGACACCACCAGCCTGGCCTGCCAGGGAGAGAACTTGGGATCCCTTTCCCGCTGCTCACTGGGAGGAAAATACTGCACTTATTCATCCCTGGGCGTGGAAATCCTCCGAAACACGTGCAGTCTTCAGGTATAAAAATGAAGACAGCCGGGCGCCGGTGGCTTGTGCCTGTCATCCCAGCTACTCAGGAGGCTGAGATCTGAGGATCGCGGTTCAAAGCCAGCCCAGGCATTAAAGTCTGTGAGACTCGATCGCCAAAGAACCACCAGAAAACCAGAAGTGGCGCTGTGGCTCAAGTGGTAGAGCACTTGCCTTGAGCTGAAGAGCTGCGGGACAGTGCTCAGGCCCAGAGTTCAAGCCCCATGACCGACCAAAAAAAGGAAAGGAAGACACTGGCTTCTACCACCCCCGGCTGTGGGCTTGGAGCCTCCAGCAGCCCGTGTACAGATGGTTTAGCGCTCAGCGTGGGTGAGGCATCAGTCCACAGCCACACAGCCTCACACGGCACAGACGGTGCCATCCCCCGGGCCCCTGCCAGGTGCTCTGAGCTCTGCACACAGGAGGCCCCAGCAGCCTGGAAGGGGGGGTGCGCAGGCGTGGGGACGCCCCACGGGTGTGTTGGAGCCAGGGCGCCTTGTGCTCATCCTAGCAAAGCGCCTGGGCATCTGGCTACGTGGGGGACATCACCAATAAAAGCCGCCGTGCCGTGCCCCGCTCCGCGGGAGAACTTTGTGAGCCCTTAAAGAGGCCTCCGGTGTGGAGGCGGGCTAGGACACTCTGGGGGCTGAGAAGGAGGGCCGGAGTGGGGAGTGGGTACCGGGGTGGGGAGTCAGAAGACACCTTTTTTAAAAGCACATCAGGCCAGGTGTTTACTTCCAGAAACTTCCATGGAATAAAAGCATACAGGAGCAGCCGGTGGTCATTTCCGGGTGCCCACAGACCTGTTTCTGAATGAGAAAAAAAAAAAGTGGGCTATGTTTTGTGCAAATGGAGATGCAGGTGTGGCTGGGGGTGGGGGGGTGGACGAAGGTGTCCGGGAAGGCAGAGGCTACGACTGGGTGCCACCGGGGTCAGGTCCCCTACTGAACCGGCTCTTTGGCCTCCTTCGGCCTCAGTGGCTCCATCTGAGAAATGGACTGGTTTAGTCCATCCCTTCTCCCACTGTAACTCAAACGGAAAACAATAACTTAGTGGTGCAAAGATTTGTGGCAGTCCCGGCCCACGATCTGCCCTCAGCCCAGAGTGAGGCTGAGCAGGGCATGGAAGGCACTCAGCACGGCTTGCCCCGGTAACCCGAGGACCCACCCCATGTGGAAAGCGAACTCCTGAAACAATCAAGGGCAGAGGGCCTGGGGCTCCACAGCCCTCTCGGGGTGGATCCCACCGATTGCGGGGCCATCCACTCTACCAGCCTGCCAGACTCTGGCATCCAGCACAGGGTCCCCTCAGCCTTACCCCCACCCACTGATGTCGCGTAGGACGGCCCTAACCTTGGGGACCCATCTTAGTCTGTCTTGCTCTACTCAACTCCCACAGCCTGGGCCACTTAGAAATGATGACAGGCCTTGATTTAGCACAGCTCTTGGGGCCGAGAGTTCAAGGCCAAGGTCACAGCAGTGTGGCACTGGTGAGGGCTGCTGTGCTTCTAAGATGGCGCCACCACGCTGGGCCCCCCAGGGCGTGGGGTGCGGTGTCTTCCCCTGGGGGAAGGGAAGAATCCTTCCCTCTTAGCCCTCATCCAATCACAGCACTCATCTTTGGGGCGGGGGCAGGTTTCTAAGTCTAATCACCACCTAAAGAGCCCAACTCTGATACCGCTGTGCTGGGAACTTAGTGTCTGCGTGAATGTTGGAGGGACACACATCCAAATGGCACAGGCCCCGCGTGCAGCCCCTTCTGACGATCCTGTCCACCTGCCCCAGGTCTCACCCTGTTCCCGGGGTTCGAATCACCGGCTCAGCATCCTCAGCCCGGATTAGTCTGCTGGCTGCTGGCTTTGGAGCAGGCATCTCGCACAGGGCCCCCAGCCAGGCATGGTGACACATGCGCAGGCACCCCTGGCGGGGGAGGTGCAGAGGACTCATGTGACCTGCTGGAACCACACACAACCAAGGAAGAGGCCAGGGAGGATTCGGAGTGGGACTTCTGGCCTGGGTTCCTGCGTTCCCATCTCTCCTGGCAGCAATAAACCCTAGCTAGGGTCCTGGCCACCCTCAGTCTGTGCACCAGGAAAAAAGAAAAGCAGCCTGTGAACAGGTGCATTTACTAGAAAGACTCTGCACAGGGGACCCCCAGATTCCCCTAGGCAGGAAAGGCCATCACCCCAACCCGCCAAGGAAACTGAGCCCCAGGAAGGCTCCATGTGCCCAGCCTTCCAACCTGTTTCCAACTCAGGATTCAGACCCCGATCTCCCTAATTCTGTATCTCCAACCCTTACCTCTGACCTCAACTGACTTCTGAACAGAACTCAGGAAGGGCATCCGCCACCCCTACCCCTAAAGTATATAAGTGGCGTTGTCAAGATCCAAGCTCCGATCACCCGCTTCCTTGGCCCTGAGGACTGGGTCTCGGCAGTGCTGTGGGACTTGGAGAGACACTCCAGTCCCTGTGGTCACCTCCCATCGCTCCTCCGTACATCCCAGAGCTAGGCTCCATGACACACGAGGAAGCCGGAGCTCACAAAGTGACCCTCAGGCCCTGCAGCCCCAGTATGGCGCGGGCTGCTCTCTGCTCCAGACTCCTGACACAGCCTCCCGTGGCTCAGGACGGGCCGGGCACGGAGCCAGGGGAGGGTGAGGTGGGACAGCGATGGGAAGAAGAGGGGCTGGCCTCAAGGGACAGTGACCTCAGGGCCTGCTGCCACTCTCTATAATCTATTCAACAACAGCACCTCTGTGTTCCTCTCCCAGACTGAGGATCAGAGAGGCTTATGGAGGTTACCCAGGGTCACCCAGCTCAGGGCATCCAGGCTGCGATGCCAGCTCAGATGTTTATGGCTGCATTTAGCTTTGTGTTTGGCATTTAATTTTGTGGAGAGAAGGTCTACTACTATAGTCTAGGCTGGCCTAGAATTTCTGAGCCTATAGGGATCCTGGGATTATTGGTATGCACCACTACTCCTGGATAATGTGTGTGTGTGTGTGTGTGTGTGTGTGAGAGAGAGAGAGAGAGAGAGAGAAAGAGAGAGACAGAGAGACAGAGACAGAGAGAGAGAGAGAGAGAGAGAGAGAGAGAGAGAGAAAGAGAGAGACAGAGAGACAGAGACAGAGACAGAGAGAGACAGAGAGAGATGGAGATAGAATCCAGGGCCCTGTGTTTGCTCAGCAAGCTCTTGAACACTGAGCCACATCCTCCATCCATGGCCCATATACATTTCTTTTTAAACACTGT